GGGGGGGGGGAATCAGTCCTTCTTGGCCGCCGCCTTCCTCATGGCGGCCAGCACGTTGCTCAACTCCTCCCGCTTCCTCTTGGCGCGTATGTGCGTGCCCACCCGCTTCTTGATGAACTTGAGCTCGCGCTTGTCCTTGGACACCTTGAGCAGCTCCATGGCGCGCCGCTCGTAGGGCGCGAAGCCACACACCTCCCGGATCATGTCCCGCACGAACTTGGTGTGCTTTGTGAGGCGCCCGCGCCGCCGGCTGTGCCTCGGCTGGCTCACGTTCTTCGTCACCTTGTGGCCCTTGTTGAGGCCCACGGCCCATGAGCACCCATGAAATCTTAAGAACACTGTTGCCCAAACAAACACCTGCACAATGACCACACCAGTCAACCTGGCAACAGGGTTGGGATACATTGCATGAAGTCCCAGCGCTAGAACTACTGGGAATCAGTAGCTGGGAGGGGTACAATCCATTTTCTAAAGGGAAGAACTTACCAAATGTTTAGGCAATCCCAAGTTCTCAGCCTTAAACATATGTATACCCACGTGACCAATGTTAAATGGACTCAGTTGAATTTATGCATTTATGTATGCGTATGTGTTTTTGTAGAGATGTATATATTATATATGTATAATGTACACATATACATATTTGTGTGTATTTCTGTAGATGCGTGTGTATGTGTGAAACACCCATGTCCTACTATTTCCCACCTTCCCTGCCATGGTATCACTCTTATTGCTCCTTTCTTTGGTTGCCTCCCAGAGCTTGAAGATAAAGCTCTATTACTGATGCCGCCACACATTCAAACAATAGAGTTGGAGAGATTGAGCTGCAGCTGACCTGGATGCTTCCTATTTGTGGATTAGTTCTCATAGTTTCTAAAAAACCTTAGCAAATTCCCAAGAAAGAAAAGTAGTCAGCAGTCCCAACTAGCTATAAATCTAATGAACCGCATCAATTGCTAGGATGGGAAGACATCCACAATGGTATAATAGTGACATACATAACTTCAGGGCAAGCAACAAGTATCTCATTGGATTTCATGTCTACTCAAAGGAGGGAGTTAATGGCTAGTGCTCAAAAGCTATCCAAATACTCATGAAAAGGGCAGTCATGACTCTTAAAGGAAAACCTACTATTGCCACATATCTTTCTAGACCTCTGTAATTTTAACTGTAATCGCAATACTTATACTTTCACAGAAGTATAACTCCTACCTCTTATCAACAAAATTTCTTTTTAGCAGCAGATAGAGACTATCACACTAAAATACAACTGCCATAATGCAAAGAAAAAGATTCATTATAATAAAACTAACTTCAATTGATAAATCTATATAGTAGCTCCTATACCTAAGACACAGGGGGCACTGTAGGAGAGGGGCAGAAATATTGTAAGAGCCAGATAACTAGGACATCAACTGTTAGGCGGTGTCCTCTATTTATTACATTAAACCACAACAATGTGGTAACCTAAGGGAAGACTTGCAAAATGCCAGGTACATGCCAACATGAACGGGAGAAATCTCACAAGGCTATGCCTCTGAATCAGTGCTTCTCAACCTATGAGTTGCAGCCCCTTTGGGGTCATATATCTGATATCCTATTACTAGATATTCACATTGCAATTCATAGTAATAGCAAAATTGCAATTATGAAGTAGCAATGGAATAATGTCATGGTTGGGATCACCACATCATGAGGAACTGTTTTAAAGGTTCTCCGAATTAGGAAGATTGAGAATCATCGCTGTAGAAGGAGAGATAAAGACATTAGCTACTGAGAGAGGGAGGATTAGTCTTTGTAATGAACAAGCCTCTTGATATGTTATCCAATTCCATATGACCATTTTTTTAACATGTAGACACATGAACAACAAATAGACTCAGAAGAATGTGTGTGTGTGTGTGCATGTATGTATGTATATAGTTTTATTAGGCACTATCTTCAATGATCCCCCAAATCAGAAAATATAAAGGTGTGCCAAACTTTAGAGAATATTTCTTCAGATGTGTGTGTGTGTGTGTGTGTGTGTGTGTGTGCGCACGTGCGCATGCACGCACACATCTGTCTGTGTGTGTGTAAAGAAGAAGTTATAAATTTGAAAGGGAAAGGGGCATAAAAGAATCTGGATATGGTGGGGGTGAGAGGGAGTGGAAATGATGTAAATACAGTACTCGTGTATTAAATACTCAAAACAATTTTAAATTTAAAAATGAAAATTGAAACTCAGTTTCCCAATATCAGAGACAGACTCCCAACTGTGGAAAGAAGAAAACTAGAGAGGGAGGAGGTATAATACATTACAAAAGAAGATATTGAATTTAGGGTATAGAAAAAATATCAAACTATATGTATATGCATGCTGATATTAATTATAGGCATCCATGTAAGTATGAGTTTAATAGCTCATTGTGATTTTGACTTGTATTTTTCTAATGACTAATGATATTAAGAGTCTTTTCTAATACTGTCAGCTATTGGTACTATTTCAAACATATACTATAAATACATGTCGTATGATTTCTGAAGAAGTATCTACTAAAGTTTGGCACACCTTTATATTTTCTTATTTTGGGAACCATTAAATACAGTCCTTAATAAAATGTAAAAAATCAAAAGACAAAATAAAATAGGAGTGTTATGCAAGGGCTTGACGGTGTTCAACAATTTTTAGTTTGATTTGCCACATGTGCTCCTGTTCTAAGGCCACTACAGCCTTTTTCTTTTAGCATCAGTCTATGTCCCTTAGCATGATAGGTCTTAGCTAGCATGATAGTTCTTAGCTAGTAGAGTAACATGAAGTACTAGCGTATTCATGGGGCAACAATACATAGGCAGATCAGGACTGCCTTTGAACTTTCAGTGAACTAATCCTTTTTGTTGTTGTTGGTGGTGATGGTGGTGGTGTTCTGAGACAGGGTTTCTCTGTGTAGCCCTGATTGTCATGGAATTCATGACGTAGACCAGGCTGATGTCAAACTCACAAAGGTCAACCTGCCTCTGCCTCCTGAGTGCTGGAATTAAAGGCATGCACCACCACACCCATTTTAAGTTAATTCTTAATCCTTCTTCTTGTGTTCTGCTGCACATAAATGCAGTAGAAATACTTTTAATGACATCTATATTAGATTAAAGAAATACTGCTGTGTGAAATGTTAGGAGGTGACCATCTCACTGTTATTTTCTTTCCTAGACATATCCTTCCTTTACTACCTTTCTGTTACTCTTCTTTTCCGTAGCTACTGCTTTTCTAGGGTTTAGTTTTATTACTAATGTACTTATATGCAAATTCTTGGCTTCACACTAAAATGTCACTGACTCAGCCTCATGTAAATTCATTTCTTATACCTTCTCTGGCCTCTTACCCCTTTGCTGAGTGGGGCTAGAAGAAAATTCTTCCAGTCTCTCTTGGATATGTTCCGCAAGAAGCTTGATCCACTGTAGCCACCATTTCTTCCATTGTGCTGCTATTGTTTTCTAACACACGTCTGTTTTTGTAGTTCTTGAATACTTTCCAGTAGTGTGCATTGCTGAGTCACTCAAAAGTCTCTGTACAGACATGTCTTATGTGTCTTTGGATCCCTAAACTCAAAAAAAAAATTGGCCTTTGAGATGCCATGCAATCAAAACATTATGAAATGAACTAATTGGTTAATTAAATTGGAGATTAAAACTCTGGTAAAGTTTAACAATCTGTGAAAATGCTGAAGCAATGTTTAAGAACTGAAGGTTTGTACGGCACAGCTGCTTCTTACATAATTATATATAAACACAAAATGTCTAAAAATAACCTATTTTTAAAATACAGTTTTATCTATACAGATAGAAATATTCTACCCAACTCTCTACTGTTTGTGTGTAAAGCCCTTTGAAGATGAGAAAAGAACAGGCTGGGGTCTTTGATGAGGCAATAGAGCATGAGATTATATGTTCAATGTCAAAACACTATTTTCTTTTGAGAGATAATTTTTATTGCTTTAGTGAGGAAGTGGGCTTGTATTGCCTTTTTGTTTGGGTCCAGTGTGCATTGGTTCTGGCAGAGGTTTTGTTGTTACAATGGTCTCTCTGCAATACTAAAACTAGAAATAGCAACTGTAAGAAATGATGTCATTCTTCCCAGTAACTAAGACAACAATAAAGAAATTTCATTTGCAGCTCAAGTGCTCAGAGCTCTACATCAACTCTGAATTTGTGAGCACGTTAATTTCTTCAGAGGTTTGCTCTAATGCACCATTCTTTATCTAGTTTCACATTCACCAAGACATCAGTTCTGTTCTGATTTATAGGTATCACCTCCTTTTATCTATGTTCCAGGCCACTTTACTCATCTAAACCTAGTTATTACATAACTACCACCTCTGTGCAATGTAGTGAGAGGAATGTCTGCCCACATCCAAGCTTAATTAGCTATTGACACATTGTGTTTTTATCACTTTCACACTCCTTCCAGCTTTCTTCCACATTTAGCTTTTAGAGTTATGCCTTCAAAACTCACCATAAACCATCACCAAATGTAAGATTCAAAATTTAGGTTTGTTTCTGGGTTCTGGAAAATAGGTGCCATTTTGTTGTAACTGTTCAGAAAATATACAATATTAATTTTATACCCACCTAGAAACATTCTAGCATCTAGTTATTCTCTACTGAGTTTGTTTCTGACTTGAATGCATTATTTATAGGCAAGAATAAAGATATAAAGAAAACTGCTCTTTGTTCAATTTTACATTTTCTGCATTATCCAAATTACTAAAGTTAGAATTTTCCTTTCTTTAGTGCTATGCTTTGAGACAATACATCACATTTTGATTTTATCTACACTCTTTGTCCAGAAGATTTATCTGGAATGATATACATCTCTCAAAGATTCTATTATGTACTTTAAATGTCTTTACTCCAGATTTGCTCACTTCGTTTTAGAGTACATACCCAATATTTCCTATTCTACGTTTTATATAAAATGTCACAAAATGATTCTTGGGCACTGTGACAAATCCTCATTCTGACAAAGAAGAAAAATGCTGATTAATGATGTCATTATAGCTACCTGTTGCAGCTCCGTCAGTTCATTTGCAATTTCCCATTCAATCAAGCTACATATAAAGTAGTATAAATAAATGAAGCTTGATAATTACCAAATATGATCACTTTATAAATTTATACCATTTTGGAAAGATCATATAATCTTAGCAAGACAAATCTGAAAGTTACATATAAGGGACTACACAATTTTTGTTTGTTTTTTTTTCATTTTTCAACGGTTTAAAGGACAGCACACAATGCAGAAAAGAAAAATGTCATTACTCTAAGCAAATTTATGATCTACATATTTTGTAATGGATTACTTTATCAAAAAATTAATGTAGCTTCAGGGATGTATATAATTTTTATGCTTTGAAGTATCAGACAAT